CTTTTCTCTTCCCTGCCACACTTATTGGTCTCTTCATGTTTTTAGGTAACCTTTTGTTGGGCGGTTAACGTTCCCTTATCTGTGTCTCCACCTTAAGTTCTTTATGCAACACCCGAAGGTCGTCGTACGCATAAGGGAAGCACCACAACTGTATTGTGCAGCCTCGACGTTACAATAGTGCCTATCTGTTGCAGTCAATCCAAACCTGTCCTCTGTTTTTTGTTTAGAAAAATTAACATATAATATTTTATGTTTATACCACTGGTCACAAAGAAATCAAATATGATGAGAGAAGTATCAATGACCTTGCCATGAACAATCGATAGCCAAGTCAAGAAAAATATTATCCACCGTGGCACCGCCCATACATTTTTTTGTTTAAAACATAGCGAGTATAAAATGACAGAGCGCACACCACCAAGATGCACACACACACACGTCCACACAATGTATACAAATGACCGGTGTTGAGGGGCTATATGACTGATTTCTTTTCACCGACGGAAATATCGCCTTGCACTTCCGCTCATACAAATATACATACTAAGTTGGATTTCAATCTCGCTCCTATATGCATTTGATAAAATGCCGTTTCCTCTGTGTATATACGTAATCAAACTTTACAGGGGCATGCTGACGGATCTGTTAAGTTCGTTATATGTTCATAATAGAAAAAGCCTGGTTAACCAACTAAGCACATCCAATGCAACACACAGTGTGCCAAGACACACATTTCGGCATTTGCACAAGTCACCGACAACCTGGCCCTTCCTAAAAAAATTGTATTATATTTCACGACAAAAATGCTCTCTTACGGGATACAACATCTTACGGTTATTTCTTTCTTGGGGCAAAAACAATGGTGGCAGTACCAAGATGAGCCCCGTGCATTCCATGTAGATATTTGTTTTGAAGCTGCTATCCGAACCCATCATTACTCAATGGTAGCAATGGTCCCTTTCCAAGTCTCTCGTCATTAGTTCTTCCCCTTTTCTTCATTGTTTTCTCCCAAAGCAAGAAAAACATACTACATGTAGAGCAACACTAGCCTCATTCCACACTTTTGTCAGTGAGGAACCAGACTCTGCTGCAAGAGCCGGTTAGCCTCTACAGGCAGCACCTTTTAATTGAGCTGTATCGATTGAGTCGATGTGCCAGCTGAGGCATCTGTCCAGCATGTAGCGTTGGCCATGCCCTTATAATTCTCTAAAAAAACTTATGGTTAAGAGCATTTACAACCGGACTAGGCAAATTCGGGCCCTCAAACGACCGTGGATGCGCCTGGGCGCTTCCGCGGGCACTGACCGGTCACTTCTTAAATCATATCGTCCACATTCGTGTATCTTATATCCAATCCCCTATATCCATGCTAAACCATGCAACGTCGATCAAACTACATAGATCAGCAAAAGGACATAGGCAAGCACAATACACTCGTCAAAAGATCACGAACAATGTTCAAAAGACCACCAAAGTTCACATAAACGACAGACACTTTAAACTACATCTAATATTTGAAATTAAATTGAAGAAATCGGATCTTCACCACTTCCTCGCCGGCCATTTTCCCTTTCAGTCGCCGGCGCAGCTGTAGCTGTCAGCGGCTGGTGGAGGATCGTCCGATTCGTCGGACGAGGGGCCATGGTCGTCGTCGAAGGACGAGGAGCCCACGTGGGGG